TATTTACCTTTTTAACAGGAGTTTGACAGTTCAATTGTTGGATGAACTAACTTCCACTCATCTGTATCCTAATATTTTCATTTCTCATCTTCTTCCATTATTTTTATTGTTTGTAAAACAACCATAAATATGTATAAAAGCTCAGTTTTAGACAATCCTGCCTTCAAGTATAATTCCATTAACATATTTTATTTAATAATTCAATAATTTCCATGATCGTCATCAGGTCATAAACACTATGATGAGAGTAAACAACACTAGTCTAGGATACGCACTTGTCTTAGAAAAATTATTTCTTTTTCTGAGTCTCATCTTTAAAATTCTATGAATTCTATAAGCTAGATTTTCTTATAACTGGACCTCACTGGATTCTTGAAATTGGACCTCATAGATATAGAACTAGGGAGAACCTGATACATAAAAACATAGTCTTCAAATTGAATTTAGTTTACTGACTTGAATACAAGAATTGCTTCTTAACACTTAAAGAATGAATGAAAAGAATTGTTGTTTACTTACAGCATTCCCACCCATGACGTCCTCAAAGCCGAGTGTGGACTTTCCAAGTGTGGATTCCTCCTCCTCTTCCTCCTTCTCTGTGTCCCCTACATACTCCATGACTGTAATCATCTCCATCATGTCCAGCTTTGCAATATTTGTGCTGCTCACCATAACTACTCTTTATTGCTGCAGAAGACGAAAACAATGGAAAAATAAGAAAAGGTGAGAATCTAGTTAATTGCGTGTTCTAATATTTTAAAACCTTTACGTATTTAAGATCAAAACTGGGGATGGAAGGAGGAATGTATTTAACACTGCCAGTCTCCTTATGACATCCACTCCCTTGCTTTCAAATTAAGCACCCCCCCATGATCTGTACAAATGTCAATGAGTTTTGGCATTGGAGCATATCTCCTAAGGTTAGATTTTCACAGCCGTTAGAATCTAAACCACAGTTTGGAAGTGAACATCTATTTCTGCTCCACGTAAGCCCCCGCTGCCCCACTGCCACTGCCAGATTGGATAGCAACAACATTCCTGAAAAAATGAGCCTTTAGACTCCAAACCAAACCAAATTCTTCATTGCTCTAAAAAGGAAAGATCCTTGGTGAACTTAGTGTTTTGTGTTCTGTGTCCTCCTCAATACCGTGTCTCTCTAGAACCTAAGCCCAAGCTCTCACCTGGTCCTCGGGTCATTCCTGATCATACTTGTCTCACCTGCAGAGAATCAGCGGCAGTAACCCTCACCACGCTTCCTTCGGAGCTCCTGCTAGACAGACTTCACCCCAATCCCATGTACCAGAGGATGCCACTCCTTTTGAACCCCAAATTGCTCAGCCTGGAATATCCCAGGAACAACATTGAGTATGTGAGAGATATCGGAGAGGGAGCATTTGGAAGGGTCTTTCAAGCAAGGTAAAGTTGCCGGTGTAAAAACACTCTAACTATTGAAATATGTTGTGTCTGAGAAGTTACCAGACTATAACTTTGATGTCTATGAATATGTATAATAGTTATTATCAAATTAGTTCATTTCTCACATCATTAGCCTTATTTGTACAGAGTCCTGTACTTTGAATCTTAGTCACTTCCCCTTTCTGCTGGAAAACAGGGTTGTGTATATGGAAAGAATCTTTATCAAGTGTTCAAGTTAAAAGCAATTAGCACAGTTTCAATCATATTTCCTTTTCAGAAGAGAATTTGGCATACATTTTAAATCATAATTTCTTGCACGGCTTTTAGTAAGTATGTCCAGAATTCTCTTCCATTCCATGATAATTGCTATCATCTCCACTTCATGTAAAATTTATTCTGAACCAGTGTTTCCGTTTAGGAACTCAGAGTCCGAAATTTGTAGATATTAAATAGTTGTTCATGGAACGGCAAAACAGAAAAGGGAAAAAATAATGCAAAAATGTCAGAAAACAATGAGCTCATGAAAAGAGTATGAGTGTTAAGTATATTACATTTGTGGTACATTTAAAGAGTGTTTTATAACATATTTGTATTATTATATCCAGGTCTCACATCCCTGGGTATAGATTTTATTATCCCCATTTTATAGATGTAAATAAAACTGAAAAGATTTGTATAAATAAAGAAAGAAAATTTTAAAAAAAGAAAGGAGAATGTATTAAAGCCAGTGCTAGCCCATTTCATGTCTTTGTGTGGACTGAAATCAAATCCCCTCTCTGCATTGATGTGGCTCTGCAGACACACAGCTGGGCCACAGAATGTGGACATGGTTTTAATTACCAACTGTCACTCAGATCTGGGGCTCTTGGGCAGGACACAGCCTTACCTGCACTCATAGTGGCCGTGCTATGGAGGTTACATGATGAATGAAAATATCACAAATATTAACTGGGAACCAAAAATACGCAAGGCACCACTTTAGGTTCTTAGGGGATATAGAGATGAGTAAGTCATGATCCCTGCCTTCCAGGAATTTAGATTCTAGCCAGAGATTAAGAGGTTAGGATGGTAATGATAATCCCGTTGGCTCTGGACACTTTGGAATTCCCACAATTTATAAATAATACATTTTTCAAACTTAATCTATGTTGAAAAGAACGCCAGTGATTTTTATTAAGTGGAGTCAAGGAATTTTAAGTATGATCTGCCACTGGCATCCTTCTTTGGCTCTGTGGCTCAGGGAAAGCTGCATGAGCAGAGGGATGTGTGTGAATGGGGATAGTTATAATGTATACATACAGTTATAATGTATATAATGACTACGTGTAACACTGATGATCTCTGATTTCTTCCTAAATAAATGTATCTCTTAGGGCTCCCGGCTTACTTCCCTATGAACCTTTCACTATGGTGGCCGTGAAGATGCTCAAAGAAGAAGCCTCAGCAGATATGCAAGCCGACTTTCAGAGGGAGGCAGCCCTCATGGCGGAATTTGATAACCCTAACATCGTGAAACTCTTAGGTATGAAAATAGAAGGGGAGAAATGCGTTGCCTCGGAAAACAGAGGCTTGCCAAGTTTTTTTTGCCTTTATGCTGCCTTTATGTTTTTTATCTTTCATTTCTTGATCAGGGAGAAGTCTCTGTTCCTCTCTATAGACTGTTTTCTGTATCAGGGACTAGAACATTTCATTAAATTATCTGAGTTCAAAAAATCGAGTTTTTAAAATTTCTCAAAGAAACATATGGTCATTTTATTCATTTTCTTTTATTCATTTTTAATTTTAATTTATTTTTAAATTTAATTTATATAGTATATATAAGTACACTGATTACTAAAGTCCCTGGAATTAAAAACTAGCGTCCAAATAAACAAGCCAAGACAACAGTATTCTTATTTCTCTTCCTTTATGAAAGAGACTTCTAATTTTTGCCTGAAAAAAATTGGGTTAATAATCTATTTTTATGCTGTTGTGAAATTGTGACCCTCTGATCTAATCTTTCAAGTTGTCCAGTTTCCCTCTCAAAGACAGCAAGATTTTAAGATTAACAAAAGCCCACTTGGCACTAAATCTAAGTCTCTATTTATATTAACATTTTTTCCTCTCTGGAATGAACGTTATAAATTTACCTAAATGTTTTACTACAGTAAGCTGAATACCACATCTAAGATCTTGGATTGTTTTTGTCATCCCTTCCAAAGTGCATACAACAGCCTTCTTATTACCATTCTTCAGAAAGCAAGCAGAAACACAGAGCAATTGCATTACATACTCAAAGCAAACTTCCATTCATAAATCCGTTCACCAAATATTTATGGAGTATGTGCTCTGCCAGACACGTGGTAGGTGTGTGGAATTTAAAGAAGACTTAAGACATGATCTCTGTTTTCAAAGTGCTAAAATGTTGGGGACGAACCTCAAATAAATGGACGATTATAACAAGCTGATAGGTACTCTGTTAAGGGTGATGCAAGGAAAATCTGGACATGGAAGGGTCAGGTGCTGAAGCACCATGGGAGGAGTCATAAATAAGTTGGCTCTTAAAAGATAAATAGGAGATGTTTACACAAAGAAATGGGGAAAAAAAGTGGGGGAAGGGTACAGCTCAATTGGTAGAGTGCGTGCTTGGTACACATGAGATCCTAGGTTCAATCCCCAGTACTGCCATTAAAAACAAACAAATAAACCCAAGTACCTCCCCTCCAAAAAATTTTTTAAATTAAATAAATTAAAAAATAAATACATAAAATGTTTTTAAAATATAATAATTTCATGTTCAAATGGGGAATGTCTGTGTGGATACTTTAAGTGTATGGTATGAAAGAACGAACCCAGAAAACTCAGTGCCCTGGATCATTTTAAACTCACACTGAAAATAATCTGGTCATTACTGTTGATATTTTCATAAGCCTTTAACTCAACTTGCTCATTTAAGTTACGAGTTATCTACTGTGTGGCTGAAGAATTAGTTTGATAATAAATACATATATATATATCTTATATAGATAGATAGATAGATATAGATATAGTAAATGAACCTAATTACCTCCCCGCCAAAAACAAAAAAAAAAAAAGAGAAAGAAATGGGGTCAGAGTTTGACTACGATGCTGGGGACAGAAAACCAGGGCCCCACACTCTCTGATCCGGTCGTCTGCCTTTGCACTCCTCTTTCCGGTGTGTCACCTGAGGAACCCAACCTCTAACAGGGGGCGTTGTTTCGGTTGCAGGCGTGTGCGCGGTGGGGAAGCCCATGTGCCTGCTCTTCGAGTACATGGCCTACGGGGACCTCAACGAGTTCCTGCGCAGCATGGCCCCGCCCAGCGGGCGCAGCCTCAGCCCCGGCGCCCCGGCCACCGCGGGGCCGGCCTCCAGCCCCGGGCCGCCGCCCTGTCCTGCGCCGAGCAGCTGTGCATCGCCAGGCAGGTGGCAGCTGGCATGGCCTACCTGTCGGAGCGCAAGTTCGTCCACCGGGATTTAGCCACCAGGAACTGCCTGGTGGGGGAGAACATGGTGGTGAAGATCGCCGACTTCGGCCTGTCGAGGAACATCTACTCGGCGGACTACTACAAAGCCAATGAGAACGACGCCATCCCCATCCGCTGGATGCCGCCCGAGTCCATCTTCTACAACCGCTACACCACGGAGTCCGACGTCTGGGCCTACGGGGTGGTCCTGTGGGAGATCTTCTCCTACGGCCTGCAGCCCTACTACGGGATGGCCCACGAGGAGGTCATTTACTACGTGCGGGACGGCAACATCCTCTCCTGCCCCGAGGACTGCCCCCTGGAACTGTACAACCTCATGCGCCTGTGTTGGAGCAAGCTGCCCGCGGACAGACCCAGTTTCACCAGCATCCACCGAATTCTGGAACGCATGTGTGAGAGGGCAGAGGGAGGGGTGGGTGTGTAAGGGCGAGGGTGTGCCCGGCGGCATCTGCAGCCTCCTACCAGACTCTGCGAGCCGGAGAGTCCCACGCCAGAGGCCCGGGGAGACCCTGATAGCGAAGAAGAGCAGCACACGTGGGTACCACGCTGTTGGTTCTCAGAAAGAAAAAAAAAAGATACGCAGAACCCACGTGGTAGATGCAAAGTGGGTGATGGGAAAGGCAGGCGAGGAAATGTGCTACACGACATAACTACTCTTCCTCGTGGGGAAAGTTTGCATTACATTTTGTCCAGGCAACATCATCCCGTTCCGTTCCTGGATTCGCTGGCAGCAGAGTAAGACTCGGCTGTATTAAATTTTAGTATGAAACACAGTGGAGAGCTTCATTTTTAATAGCGATAATTCCTGTCCATTAGGAACGTAGCGTGCCTTCCCGTAAGAAGTTTAGCTCAGGTACAGAAAACTAAAAAGAAGGAAAAACCATTTATTTTTCTGTCCACCGAAAGACCGGTGTTGGTTTTTTAAATTGAATTTCTATCTTGCGTTTCATGCATCCTTTTATATTTGTTTGTGTTCTACCGAGTTGTAGTTTATTTTATCGATAAGGGGTTTCCAAGGAATAAAATGACAAATCAGCAAGGCTGTCTTCTACTGTTCCCTTTTCCTGCCTCTGTGCCTCATTTTTAGAAGCTTTTCCTTTGGGTGCACCTATCATGAATTTAATCAGCTTATTTTATTCCTGCAGTTTTGTCTGGAAAAAAAAAACTCTTTTGTGGCTAATTAATTTACCTTTCTCTTTGAAGATTTTATGGGTACCTTTTTCTTTGCTCTCATCTTTATTTCTGCCTCTTTTCAGGACTTTCTGTTCTTTTTTGGTTATTGAGCTATTTTTTCCCCTTTTACTTAACACGTACAACAAACACCCTGGCAGAAATAATAACTTTCCAGATAACATTGTGGACTGATATGTTTACACCTTTTACAAAGTATTGCCATTTTCTCCTGTACTTGTTTTTGAAGCCATATATTTCAAAGTCGTCAGTCATTAATTTTATTGCCACAGTTTATTAAATCTCTTAAACCATGGTTTATAATATGGGATTTCACAAGATGCTCTTGTGATTCTGACTTATTTCAAACCTGATGATTTTGTGCATTGTGATTTTTTTTCCTTCTAGAAACCAACTCGATAGGCAGTAGAATTAATATAGGGTTACTTACCAACTTCCTGCACGGCTGTTAACCTATCTCATTACATCTTACGATTCTTAAAGCAAAACAAAACAAACAGACAAAAACAATCTCTGGAACTCAGATTCCTGGTGCACACGATTTCTCGGTGGAGTCCTCACAATGTATCTTTATCTGAGGCCAATAGCAATGATCAGAGTTTATTCCTGATACAGTATGAACCCAAATTCTCCTGGAAAGCAAATAAACAGGGGAGAGAGAATAGCAGTGTATACCAGCTTGCATTAATTCTAAACGCATTGGTAGGGAGGGCATTGGAGACATGCCTAAATTTACTTTCTAAATTCTTGAAAGATTTTCACCTGTCTGCTGGAAGGCTCTCCTTGAAATCTCCAAATTCACCTGCATGCTGCAACTTTGTCATCTTCGCTGGAAAACCTGAAACTTCTTGTTCATAGTCACCCCAGGCAACCAAGACAAAAACCCAGACTTCTGCCTCTCCTTCACCCATGAAAACTCTTGTCAGTTTCACTTTCTAAACTCCTGCTCTCACCACTTCCCCTTCACTCGGACTGCCCACTGCTCAAATTCTACCGCTGTCTACTATCTCATCTTCCTCCCATTTCTGGCCAGAGCAGATTCCATAGGCCATGACAATGTGAGGATGGGCTCCCTCACAATCCTGACTTCTAAGAGTTTTCTGATTTATTAGGAAGGCAGAAGTTAGGACTGAGACCGGGAGAGGTGCTTTAGGTTAAAGTCATGATGGTAAATCCAAAATTAACACAGTCATCCAAAGGGCTACTAGATGAGGAAGGAGGTTGCAGCGTGAGTCAGAGACAGAAGGCCAAGAGTCTAGCAAAGCAGAAAATTTGGAGAGGGCCACCAGCAAGGCTGGAACCTTCCTAAGATATCCATGACACGACACGTGTGTGTGTCATCTACACTCTGCAAAGTTCAAAGACTTCCTCAGCTGACTTCGTTATAAAAGAAAGACATGGAAGTCAGGCCAATCAGAAAAGCCACTCCACAGAGAAGCAAGATCAGGACAGAATTCCTCGGAGTCGCTGCCGTGGGCTCAGTGCAGGAGGTGCCATGTCGCCCCTCAGGACAGGATCTCCATAGCCCTGTTTGTATCGTCTGCCACTTAGAGTCCTGCTCTGCTTCCCTCCTCAGTGCTAAAGAACCGCCCTTACTTTCCTGTCTCTTCCTCATGCCTCCTACAGCCTCCTTAGGCTCTGGTGTTCAAGATCTCAAAGCCAAAAAAAATCATAAAAATATAGGTAAATACACTGAGTGAATGAGTAAGTGAGAAAGCAAGTAACTATTACACAAAGCATCCAATTTTATTAAATATCTAAAGGAACTGAAAACTAAAACATCTAGAAACCCCACTATAGTAAGAGTCGTAGTAAGGCAGCACCCTTAGCTAGTATTTGTTGAACTCTTATCATGTGCATTCTAAGACCTCTAAATATATATTTTTAATTGAATATGTTAATTTAAAGCACACATCATCCTTGTGACGTCAGTACTGTCATTATGCCCATTTTTTTTTTTAGGTGAGGAAATAGGCACAGAGAGGGTGTGTAACTGGCCCGAGCACACAGAGCAGCAGAGCCTAGGTTATGACCAAAGAGGCTGAACTCTCTATCACCATACTGAGGTGCTTCAGATGATTAGAGAGGGAACAACTGAATCTTGATGATTACGTGGAGGTGGTTTGTAATTTGCATGTAGTTTCAAAGCACAGGCTATGCCCCTCATACCACCAATTTCCTATCCAAGTCTTTTCATTTCCTGGCAGAATTTTAGCCAGGAATTCCGAAAGTCCAATAGGTGGCATGTCTGTTTTTTCATTAGCTCTAGAGGCATTTTCAAGTTATGTTAAGATCAGTCTTACTTCCTTCGTATTCATCCCAAGGTTCTGTATCTCAGGAATATGGACCCATTATTTACCAGTATTGTTTTCCTTTTGTAAGTAGTTTTCCCATTTAAAAATCATTGTATACATTCAAAAAGAGAAATCGAGTGACAAACACTCCCGGAACCATTGTTGCCAAGTGTCGGGACAGGCATCGGTGAGGCGCCAACAAGTGATTCTAAGTAGTTGAATATCCAACGTGACAAGTGTTCCAGGGACCGCACGTGGCATCAAAAGCACACATTCCCTGATATCGTGATGGCGTAGAAAAATCTACTCTTCTCAGTTTGCAGGATATTATAAACCTGTGCTATGTCATTAACTGCTCTTCTAAAAGTCCAATTTAATTTCTGAATAATATCCATTTTATGGATATACCATAATTTAGTAAACTTATCTTTGAAAGCTTTGAGTTTTTTTTCCAGTTTTCACAGTTACCAACAATACCAACAGTGCTAGAATGGTTATCCTCATTTGCATATGCCCATAATTACCGCTTTATGGAAATTTCTGAGAAAGGGAATGTCCAGGCCAAATAGCTTAAAATCAAGCTTTTGTGATGTGTTGTCATGTTTTCTACAAACATTGTTCCCATCTCTGCATTGTACCAGAGATGTCATAGCTCTAAACATTTGCTGTCATACAAAGAGAATTAATTCTCTGTTTTTTTTTTCACATTTTTTTCTCTGTGATTTATCATAACATTTTGTGTATATTTCCCTGTGCTATACAGTGTAATCTTGTTTATCTATTTTTAAGAAGACTTTGCCTATTTGGTTGTAGTAAAAGATGATCTCATTTTGATTTTTTTTTAATTATTGGTGAGTTGAATTTTCTGATTCCTAAGTCATTTATAGTTTTTATTTTGGGATTCATCTATAGTTCACTTTTCTATTGTGTAGTTCATTTTCTAACTGATTTGGTAAAGTCATTCTATTTTTAAAATATTAAACCTTTGTCATACTTGACACAAAAGAGAAAATACATACATATTTTTACTTTAAAATAGCATTTACATTTTTATTACAAAATAATACTTGTTTACTTTTTGAAAAGAAAACATAAGCAGTAGTATATAATAATGACACATAGTGTACAATAATAAAGAACATGAAAAAAACACCAGCCAGTGGTAACTCACATTAACATCACGATAAATGTTGTTACAGCCTTTTTCAGATAGGCAGGTAGGTAGGTCGGTAGGTAGGCAGGCAGGCAAATAGATGATAGATAGGGAGACAGATGATCATTTTAAATGCAAAGATCATATTGTTACATTGTTTAAAGCTTTGTTTTTATCACTGAATGTCTCATAAACATCTCCAATATCAACAAGTAATCATGTGCGACTCCACTGTTGATGTTTGAACAATATTCTATTATATGGAGTTACAGTATTGGACTATTGTTCTGTTGTTGAACATTTGGCTTATTTCTAGTTTTCATTATAAAATACAGTATTTTGATAATCTTGTTGCTAAATTTTGTGAGCATCTATCTCAAGTGATTTCTTTATATATAACTCCTAGAAATGGAATTTCTAGATCAAAGGGTATATACACTTTTAACGTGTTTCATATGTTGACAGATTACCTTCCTGAATTATTTTATCAGTCTATCGCCTTCCAGCTAGAAGAGGGAGCCCTTTTCTTTCATACTCCCTCGTGCTGAGCATTAACATTTTAATCACTGCCAGGATAATAGTTTAAATTTGTACTTTGGAGCTTATGCTTCCATTTCTTTAAATAAGATAAAGTTGAACATTTTTCTTCAATGTTTTGAGGACAATTGATTTGCTCTATGATTTGCTTTCTGTTACTTTTCTATTGGGTTTATCTTTTTCTTGTTGCTTTATAAAAACACTTTTTATATTAAGGAGTTAAATTTTGCTGAACATGTTTCAACCACCTTTATCATATTAAAAATGTATACTTCTGTTTGTCTTTTCTTGTAAGATTTTATTCATCAGAAGAGAATCTTGAATTTTCTGTCTATTGAGATGATTACGGTTTTTCCTTAATTAATCTATTAATAGGTAGAAATGTATGAATTGATTTCCTAATGTTGAAATATCTTTATGTTCTGGGAATCAACTCTCTTTGCATGTCAACATCAGTTTTTTAATTTACTACCAAATCTGTTATATTAACATTTAGTTGCAGCAATACTTGTAAGTTCATGAAATTAAAAGCTTATAATTTTCTTCTCTGTGAGAGTTTGGTATCAGCATTATGATAGCTTCAGAAACTTAGCAGTTTCTTCCTTTGTCATCTTGATTAGTTTTTTAAAATAATTGTAACGTATTAAGCATGTATATGTATGACTGGGACATTATGCTGTATACTAGAAATTGACACATTGTAACTGACTATGCTTCAACTTAAAAAAAAAGAGGAAAAACCTAAAAAAAGAAAAAACAATACATACACATGATCTAAACACTCCTAGGAAGGGTACAAATAAAAAAGCAAAAGGTCCTCTCTTTCAGATCATCTTTAGTCTCAACCGAAGTACAAACCACTTGACCCATTTCTGGTTTCCGTTCTGACGATTACTGCTGTAATTCTAACAAATCTACTTACATCACTTTTTTAATTGAGCAATTAAAAAAGGCATGTAATATCTCCCTTCATAAAAGGTGGACCATTTAGAGCACTTTTCCTCAATCCCCTCTCGGTTTCCTGAGTTGGTTAACTTCTTATTATCAGTTACAGTGTTTATCATTGTAACTTTTAAAAATACACCTCAAGTATCGCCATTGATTCTGGAGTATCTAAGATACAATGAAAGCTCCCACATTTCTTTCACCATGCTTCCCCTCCCCTCTATGTTTCATCACCTGTTTCTATGCTGTACAGCTGTTTCTAGGCTGTCAGGATCTGTAACGTTTGCATTTTGTTCTTCAACAAGTTATAGATTTGAGTGTTGACTCTGGGTTGATTCTAAGCATGAAAAAAAGAAACAGTGTCCACAATAGTGTGATGATGGAAATATTTATGCCCTGCCTAACAAAGAATGGTATCCAGTTCTTTTAATTTGATAATATATTTTAATACCCATTAATTTCCTTTATTTCCTCTATTTTGTGGATGAAATATTTAAAATATCGCAGAATGTTCATGTTCTGTTCCTTGCATTATGTTTTTTGTCCTCTTTCTTTTGCCTCCTCCTCATGCTTTTGTTTTCCACCAATGTCTGGTGAGGGTTGATTTTACATACATAATTGCAAATGAAAGGTGGTTGTGATTCGCATTGGCAGCAGGAGTGTAGTTCTTTTGCAGTTTCGTTGGAACATTTATGCAGCAGGGCGTCTCTTTAATGGGATGGCGACCTGTGGGCTCTAGACACCTAGTGGTTTGTGAGGAGGGCACAGGCAGGCTCAGTCAGAACTGCCACAATTGCCCATCCACTCTGAGGATGTGATGCTTCGGTACATTTCACTCCAGGAGAGACCTGTTATTCCCACGCCCCTTCCATCCCCTGTGAGAATCTAGTCCCCCTGCTCTGCTCTGCCTCCCTCCCTGAATTCAACACTCACAGCAAATCCCGTCCCCTGGCAAATCGTCCCATCTATTCCGACTTTCGTGGGGCTTCAGCTCTCAGTCCACCTGTTTTCCATACAAGCCTCACTTTGACCACCCTGATTGACAACCCACAGCCCATCCCTGCTCTCTGCATCTGCTGACTCAGAGCCTGGAGTCTTCATTCGCGTGAAATCACTTCCCACCTCCCCTGACAGCTGGCGTGTGCATACTGCAGGCTTTAGTGTCCTGTTTCCCGTGTTATTCATGAGTAAGAACATTAGATGCCTTCTGCTTTCCAAATAGTTGTCAGAGTGATGCCACTGAGACTGGTTTCGGCGTGTACATAAGATTTATTCTTATTTGTATGTATTTACAGTCACTCAATGAAATCTTGGGAGGAAAGGAAAGGGTTCAGTCAGTCTACCATTTGGATGAAGAAGTCTCTAGAATAGTTGAAATAAGAATTACCTGCTCACTCCTCCTCAATCTTCTTTGTCAGTGCTTTCTCTCCTGCCTTCTTCTCCCAGCCCCTTAAGACTGGAACAAGCCGCAGCTCCATCCTTGGGCAGCATTTTTCTTTTACATGTAGTCTCCCTTAGAGATCGCATCTGGCCATCTCATTCACCGATGTGCCAAAATGTCTATCTTTAGCTCAAACCTCTCTCCCCAGATTCATACTCATATTTCTAACAATCCATTATAGACCTATTATAAATGAGAGCTTCGAGTTCTCCACCCCACGGCTCTCTTTCTGTGCTTGATCTGTGAGCCAAGCTGAAAAGTGCTTCACAGTTTGGTGTCGCCTCTTATGTCAGGGAGGG